CAATTATAGGTAGGGTTATAACCCCAGTTATAAATAGTTACTAAGTCCCATGAACCTCCAAGTAGGGTTTAGGGTGTGGGGTTTAGGGTTTAGCTTTTGTCCAGATGAGAATTACCAAGGGACCGTTAAGGGTTTAGGGCTAGGTTTGAACATAGGAGACCGCAAGGTCCCTTGAATAACGAGTATAGGGAAGGTCTCAGGTGTTTGCAGGAAGGGGGCCATTTGGGATTCGAGAATGCATGGGGGGGAGTGTTCCAAACTTGTGTGTCCTTGTCTTGGCCGGTTGAACAAGCAGTTAGATATCTGATCTCACGACCTCGTTGCAACCAAAGTTGCGTGAAAGCCCTGAGGCCTAAACCCTAGCCTGAAGCGTTCTGGCAAACAACCTAGATAAACGTCGACCCCATGAACCCCTTCTCGAATACTGGTGGGTATGGTAGAGAATATGGGGACTGCTACGGGGATCTGCTCTTCAATTCCTATGCAATCCACGAGTAAGTAAGCCTGAAGCAGCATCTACCGCCAAATGCCGTTCCCATAGTAGCATCGAAAACTTCTACACCTGCTCTTATTTGCCTTCTGTTGCCATTGCTACCAAAGTCCGCTACCCAATTTTGGATCAAGGGGCCTTCAGCCAACCTGCGTTTGGGTAGCTTAAAGTTCTCAAGTATGTGCCGCTGAGAGTAGGACGCAGGAGTTAAGCTGACCTCCCTTTTTACAGCCCCCATCTTGCCTCCAGGTTCCTGGAACTTCATATGAGCCATAGTCTAAAATCCTTACAGGGGGGATATACGGGATTATATAGGGGAGTATTATAGGGTATATTACGGGGGATACTAGGAGTTTAGACAGTGGTTCATATGGGTAACCGTACAACAACTTTATCATAGTATCAGGCTGTCAGGTTATCTCTACAGCTGTTTGGTTCTATTTTTGAGAACCCAGGGCCCTAAACCCTAAACCCTAAAAAGACCCTAAACCCTAAAGACCCTAAACCCTAAAAGACCCTAAACCCTAAAAGACCCTAAACCCTAAACCCTAAAAGACCCTAAACCCTAAAGACCCTAAACCCTAAACCCTAAAAGACCCTGCGTGCGAGCGGGTAAAAGATGCGCCACCAAAAAAATACCCAAAACACTAAACCCTAAAAGGCCCCAAACCCTTTCTGAGGCAGCAGTCCATGTTCTGACGCAGAAGTGCCCGAAACGTCCAACCCTGCGGCTCAAGGGCATTCGGTGGTAGTTTAGGGTTTAGGGTTTAGGGTTCAGGGCTTAGGGTTTAGGGTTTAGGGCTTAGGGTTTAGGGTTTAGGGCTTAGGGGGTTTGGGTTTAGGGCTTAGGGTTCAGGGTTCGGGGTGTAGGGCTTAGGGTTTCTTACCATTACTTAGAGTTTGGGGGCGGATTTTGGGATTTAAAATGCTAACCTTTTACATATTAAAATTAAGGCAATTTGGGACCCCTACGTAATGGTAAGTTTATATGGGCTTGAGGGCTTAGGGTTTAGGGTTTAGCGTTGGGGTCACGACATAGAACAGCTCATGCTTTGCTTTAGTGGCCCACCTTATAGGCATCATGAAGAAGCAGATCTTTTTCTAGTGCCCCATCCAAGAAGTTTTTTGTGGTTTCCAGAATGAGCCTAGTAGTTTCCGGGTAGTGGGGGCCCGGCGTTGGACCCATTGTAGGCTTTTCCATGTGTAGTTTACGCGGCCACTACTTGAACTCCTAAGCCTAGGCCTGAACTCTCAACCCTAAGCCCTACCTGGACCCCAAAACTATGTAACATAATGGCCCTTAAGGCTATTCTTAGGGGTTTAGGGCTATTATCTTACATACTTTTGGGGTTTAGGTAGACCCTAATCTCTAAAATCTAAGCTCTAAACCCTGAACTCTACACCCTGAACACTAAACTCGCAGCCCTAAACCCGAAAATCGATGCCCTCAACCCTAAACTCTAAACCGAACTCTAAACCCTAAACCCTAAATTTTAAACCCTGAACCCCACATGTGCAATCCCGGAAGTGAAGACCGGGCAAATTCCGTCTGTTATATGAGTTCCCCCGTAACCACCAGTAAGATAAAAGACCTAGGCTTCTGGGATTGAAGCACTCCGAATGTTAGGTCCTTGCAGATGACTTTCAGCACGGTCTAGGGCTTTGGGTTTCAGGTTTGCCTAGACCCTCCAATGTAGTTCCTTTTTGGGCTTGGTATGGTTTTTTGGTTAGGACTCCTATTACGACTACCAAAAAGGTACTACATTGGAGGGTTTGGGTAGGGTTCATGGTACACTTCAACAGGCAGTCGTTGAACTCTAGTGTTGTTGGGCTTCCCATGTGTTGCCCTTAGAGTTTTGGTACTGGTACTAGTAATTCTAGTACAGGTTGATAAAGTATATGTTATTGGGCACTTGGACCCTTAGGATTATAGTATAACGCTAAACGCTAACTTCCAAGACGCTAAGTATGTGCGTTACACAGATGGCTGAACTTTTTACATGGAGTTTCTGTTTTATAGGGGGTTATGTATCCATGCATACAAGAAGGACCAGACTGGACCAGGACATGTAACGAGATAAGCATCCAGATTGAGAATTGCTTCTTGTTTAGAGGGGCCCTCTGAAACTCGCCTCAACATCGGCACAAATGCCTAGGATCCCCTTTTGTGGGCCAGTTTTAAAGTCTTTCTTAGTTCTTATCAGACTAACCTGCTTCTGCAAGACTATCCTAATGTGGATTGTTGGCCCTCACTCCCCCAACTGTGAATTTAGTACTGGCATCCTGCCAGATGGACCTACACGATGATGGGAGGAGCAGGGTGACAGTATTTCCCGGTCTGGCTTACCTAACCCTAAATAGTAGTTTCCATTTCACCTTCCATTTTCCCAACATAACCCCAATACAACCTTAATGTTATCCCAATATAACCCCAGCATACCTCTTATATTGGCTTAGCACCCTGTCTTTCAGCTTGAGGTTCTGTAGTGGTAACCCTGCTTCTCTTTAAGCCTAGGCGTAGCTACCCCACTCAAATGGGTCTTTACAGCCAGCATGGCCAGGCATTGGGGGTTTAGGAGTTTAGGGATTTAGGGTTAGGAGTTTAGGGTTTAGGGTCTAGGGGTTGGGGGTTTAGGAGTTTAGGAGTTTAGGGTTTAGGGGTTAGGAGTTTAGGAGGGTGTCCCAACACTACGGACTATCCCATTTCGAGGTTGCTTATTATCAAAGCTTAAGGCTTCATAGGGGCTGAATGCTCAGGGTCTTTATCCTGAGAGTCCAAAATCCAGATGTGGGGGCTTTAGGCCCTAGGGTTTATAGTCCCCCTTAAGTAGATAGACTATGGGGTATATGGGGATCTTTTTTATAATATACCCAAAGCCATATTCTATCTACTTCAGGGGGACAAAGTGGTTTGCAGGAAGCCCGAAAGCTTATCTAAGCCCTAAAGTAGTTTCCATCTCATTTTCCATTAGCCCAAGATAACCCCAATGTAACCCTCATATTACCCCAGTATAACCCTAATATTACCCCAATATAACACTGATATCACACCAAATAACGCGAATATTACCCCAATATAACCCCAATATAACCCTGGGACGCTGGAGCCTTGGGGTTAGATTCCCATCTGCTGGCAAAGATCTGGCATCCTCGTAGATCTCGGGCGCCGTTCCCTTCGTTTCAGCGGCCACCTGGATTTCAACAAAAGGGGCCGTGAAGAGTTGCTCTGCTCATAACACTTCTTCCCAACCAGTCCTGGAGAGGGAACACCCCTAGCCTCCATGTTCCTACTGTTCATGGATGAAATCCTGCACCACCTTAAGTCCCTAAAGTCCCAGGAAATACTTTAGTCTGGGGGCTCTCAGTGGTGCAAGATTTCCTCCATCAACACTAGCATCCCTAACCACTAATCCCTAAACCCTGAACCCCAATATAATCCCTATATTTGTAGGTAGTCCCTGTATTACCCCCCATAAGCTACAAGGGTCCCTAGCATCCCCAATGTACCCCTATTTTGGGAACCCCGGCACTTTGCAAAGCCGGCGCAACCCGAGGCTTTTAAGACAACCCGCGCCTTAAACTCTGGACTCTGAAGCCAAGGCCCTGAACCCTCCAATGTAGTTCCTTTTGGGGTTTGTTAGGGTTTTTTGGTAAGGATTCTGATTAGGACTACCAAAAAGGTACTACATTGGAGGGTCTAGGAAGGCCGTGAACCTTTAAGGATTGAGTTAGCTCCGACTACCAATTCCCAGAAACCCGATCCTCCCTGTATCCACTGAGCATATACTGTGTACGGGATTTAGGCTTTAGGGTCATATACCTAACCATACTTAGCCCCATGGCTATAGCACCCTTCAGGGAGCAGTTTCGGGCCCCTAAAAATGCACCACGCAAGCACGGGCAGGATTCAGGGCTTACGGTGTAAGACGCGCAGTATTTCTTCCTTCCAATATGACCTCTTGTCCTGTATGTTCATCATGTGTGTACTTCTCTAACCGTAAAACCCTAGACCCTAAACCCCTGAACCCTAAATTCCTACTGTAGTTCCAAGTCCTAGGATCCTCCATAGTGGCCAGGGACAACAGGAACCATCACTTGGAGACACGGTCACTTGAGCCTCCATGTGTTGAAGTCCTGTGCCCCTCCCTAAACCCTAAACCCTACATCCTAAAGCCGTGTCCTGACAGTAGCCACATGGTGCTCAAAGCAGGTGCTTTTCAAGGCAACCGAGTTCAAGCTCAGGTCAGGAAACATTGTTTAGAATTTAGGGTTTAGGATACTCGGAATCCCGTGTACCCAAGAGTCTCCACTTAGACATGATAGCCGAGACGGATTGGTAGATGATCATATCTGAAGGGTCCGAGTACCTAAACAGCCAATGTTTTATTCCCATGGATTCCTATGGAGGTACTTCGGGCACCTTACTATTTGATAGGCCAAAGGTGTCGCAGAAAGCAGATTTTCCACATCCAAGAGTTTTTAACCCTGCGGCAAGTGCCGCAACGCCAAGATGGTCAGGGCCTCGGCTTGTTGCAACCTTATAGACATATCCTTAGGTTCAGAGTCTAGGGTTGCTGATGAGCTTTAGGGCTCCTAAACCCCTAAACCCTAAACCCAAACTTTGGGAGTAGGATTTGGGGTTTAGAATTTAGGGTTGTTTGCAATCGCTGTGTTGTGGATGACTAGACTACATCTTGAGCACCCCACTGAAGCAGATGTACGTGCAAATTAAACAAACTTAGTAGCTGGGTGGACAACCTCATCCAACCTTTTTAGGATGTATTGATATACACTCCTGCTATGATTCCAGGGGTAACCTTTTTTGGACCAGGACTTCCGGCAGCTAGTGAAGCTTTTGATGGAGGAAGCTACTTACCATGGCTATACCTCACTAAACCCTCCACTCTTTTCACAAACTGCGCCCTTGGCTTCCCGTACTCGAATATTCAGTGTTCCTCATCAGGGCTGTAAGACCCTAAGCCTAAACCCTAAACCTCAAACCCTCAACCTCATCGGCGCTCAAAAGGGGTGTCGAGTACAGTCCCGTTCAGGCGGGGCCCCTCCCATGTATGGAAACAACCCTTTATGCTACTTTGAAAGCCCTTCCAGTGTTGTAGATGTGGTGTTCAGCAGGTACCTGCTGCCAGCTGGAACCTAAGTTAATGTACATGAGGATTGTCCTAAAGTACTGTTAATACGGCATCCTATATTTAGGTTCCTATTATA